CCTTCCTTCCTTCCTTCCTTCCTTCCTTCCTTCCTTCCTTCCTTCCTTCCTTCCTTCCTTCCTTCCTTCTTTCTTTCTTTCTTTCTTTCTTTCTTTCTTTCTTTCTTTCTTTCCTGGCTTCCACCATATCCATTTGTTCAGTGGTGGGATTCAACCAGTTCGCACCACTTCAGCAGAACCGGCAGCTAATTTTTGGTTGCCCAGGCCCAGAATGGACTTCCGGAAGTGACATCCACACAAGAGAATGGTTGTTTGCCTATTTGAATCAACACCACTGCATTTGCTTTTAAAAAAAATCATATTACTGGGGGGAAAGGGGATCAATGACTCCTGCCCTTTGAAGAAAAACAATCGCCAAGATCGCTGCAAACGAGACAGTGTTTTACTTCGCTTCATCTAAAACAGGCTGACAATTTGGGGTTGTTGCCACGGTGACAGCACAACACAGTTATCCCGGCTGCCTGTTGCAAAGCAATCAATTAACTTAATGCCACTGGGTGCCTGCTTTCTGCTCGACTGCAAAGATACAGCCTTTTTTTTTTAATGTTTTTTTTTTTGACCACTTGTGCCTTGTTGCATCAGGACCCGTCGCCTGCTCCAGTTCTGCCTCGTCCTCCCTTGTTTGAGAAGTTTTCTTTCTCGATACCGGCAAATCAAAACCGATCCGATAGCGGTCCTTGATTTCTCCTGCTAAGCGTTTCGTTTGATCCACCAATGCATTTGTATTTGATTTTACACATTTTTTTCCCCAGACTGAAGTGCTCTGATTTTAATTCTCCCTAGCCCCCTTTTTTTTTAGTCCTCTTCTCTACCCTCCTAAGGTTCAGATTGGCTGAAGGTCAATTTAGGGAAGTCATTGGGCAAGAGAGGATCTGACAAACCCCCACCCACCCACCCTGCCCCCCAATTCTCTTCAGTCCAAATCTCTATCCACTCTGATGCTTGATAACTTGATAGGATGAAGAAGGGAGGACCCCCCCCCAACTCCCTCACTCCGCCACTCATTCACACGAACATTTGCTGAAGTTTTTATAAATATTGTCACCATCCCTACAGAAAACCTTACTCTGCTGTAGTCCGCAGACTCCTCTGCACTGGCGTGTCTATCTAGTTCAGTGGTTCTCAACCTTTTTAATGCCTCTACGACCCCAACCGGTCATAAGTCGAGGACTACTCAACTGGTCGTAAGTCGAGGACTACCCAACTGGTGCAGCACCGTTTGCAGAAGGGGACTTTGGGCGGGCTCAGCAGGGCAGAGACAGCCTGGACAATTCCTATTGACTTTGGAAAGCCAATAGAATTAGACTCTATTCAAGAGAGTCTATTCTATTGGCTTTCAAAAGCCAAGAGAATAAAAGGGAGGAGCACAGCTAAGGAAAAGGGGGGAAAAAATGGCGGAGACCCCCGTGAAATGGTCATTCGACCCCAAATGGGGTTCCCACCCACAGGTTGAGAACCACTGCAATAGAATAAAAGGGAGTAGCACAGCTAAGGAAAAGGGGGGGGGGAAATGGCGGACTGCGTTGTTTGGCGACCCCCGTGAAATGGTCGTTCGACCCCAAATGGGGTCCCGACCCACAGGTGGAGAACCACTGGTCTAGTTTGCATCTTTTCTCTCCCTCTCGCCCCCTCCCTCTCTCCCCCCCCTCTCTCTTGCACTATTTAACGGCTGATGCATTGCCTGCCCCATCGTAGCGCAGAGATTCTTCCCCGCCCTCCATATCTAAAAGCCAATTTGTCAGGGTTCCTGTTGGTGGAAGAAGCCTTGTTGACTGCTGCCTGTCCATTCTGGCCCAGATTATAAGCATATTGCACTGTTCTCTCCACACGAGGCCCGGGAAATCCAATACGTTGAAAGGTTAATGCAATCAATTAGGGTGACAAGGAAGTAAAGGGAGGCTTTGGAGTAGATGAAAAAGAGAGACAAAGGCTGAAGAAGCTTCTGCAGAAGATTGGGGGGGGGGAGGGAAGAGGAGATAAGAACGTAACCCCCCCCCCAATTTTCCTCTCTACACACTAGACCTGGGCAAACCCCACTTCACTGTCAATTGGGCAATAACCTGTCTTGCAGTGCCAAAAGGGCCAACACAGTGCTGGGTTGCATTGACAGAGGGATAGAATCAAGATCACGTGGAGTGTTAATACCACTTTACAAGGCCTTGCTAAGGCCACACTTGGAACACTGCATCCAGTTTTGGTCACCACGATATTAAAAAAGAAAGAGTACAAAGAAGAGCAACAAGGATGATCAGGGGACTGGAGGCTAAAACATATAAGGAACGGCTGCTGGAAAATACGAAGGGCGAAAGATCCATATATATATATATTTATTTTAAATAATCGAATTGTTAAATTGCCCCCGCGGGCGAGTTGTCCCATTCCTCGGTGCGGGAAGGACGGTGTCTGGAAAGAGACCGGCAGAAGGCCACAGAGATCCAGGAGGGAAGAGTAAAAGAGATTTGAGGAGGGAGGCGGGAGAAATCTCTGATGGAGCAGCGCGGGAGGGGAGGCAGGAGGGAAAGAGCTGTAACCAGGGCGGTGAAGCCCGCAAAAGGAAGCATCCGCCTGTCCCTTTGAGCGCGCGAGGCAGGGTGCTCACAGGGCGACCTACACCATGCCCGGCTGTGATCGCGTTTCAGGGCCACTGCCTGGCAATTCCAGAGACAATAAGAGGGCGCCTTTGAAGTCGGAGAAAGAAACTGAAAAGCAAAAAAGGGGAGACATTTCTGCAAGGCTGGAGGGGGGGAGGGAACAGAGATGCGTGCAAAGCGAAGGGCCAAGTAGGAGGGTGGGACGGTGGGGAGGACAAAGCCCGGAGTTGGGCGCCCAGTGGGGCTCCCTGAAACCAAAGGAAACAAACCGTTGACGAGTGGGGCACATGCTGCCTCTGTCTGCCTCTGGCTCCTTCTCCCCCCCCCTCCCCACTGAAGCCCCCTGCCTCCAGAGAGGCCATGTCAATGATGGATGGATGAGCAAGGCCCGGCCCATTCTTGCCCGTGTTGCAGCGGAAAATTATTTACATAACATTGGCCTTCTATCGGTCACCCCTGACACCATCCGGGCTGGGCTCCCTGCGTGCATCAGCCTGGGGAAGAGAGAGGCTCTGCTCACACCCTCTCTTGACACCTGGCTGAAGAGAGGAGGGGGACAGGTGGGGAGCAGGCAGGAGCCTCCAGAGATAGTTACCAGGCAGCTGAAAACGGTGGGGCGAGGGGAATATTCAACATTTATTGCCCTGGCCCTAAGGCAAAATGGCTCAGGACAGCTAACGCAGGTGAGTTCTCACGGATTTAGAGAAATTGCACATTTGGCCTGGCTTGAACCTCTGGTGTGTATGTGTGTGTATGTGTAGGGGGGAAATGTTCCTTTTAAAAGTAGCACGGCTGGGAGGGTGGCTTCAGCCTTCCGTTCTCCCTAGAGGTCTTCAAAGAGGGGCTCAGGATCCCATCTCTGCCTCTTCTCCCCCAGATGCAGGGTTTGAGCCTTTTCTGCTTGGCCTGGTTCAAAGTGTGTGTGGGGGGGTCTGATCCAGAAAAGGAAGCCCTGCTTTGGAGAAGGACCCCCTAACAAGATGAGAACTCCGAGGTGGAAATGTGCCACAGGTGGCCTGCTTAATCTCAAACTGCTGACCACGAAGATTTCAAATTGAGGTCTCCTGAAAGACGGTCTGCAAATCCTGCGGTAACAAAAGCTTCTTATATACGGGGAGAATTCGAACGTTAAGTCCTCAAACGGGTATTTCCCCTTCTTTCCCCGCAAGAGACCAGGCCGCCACATGGGCCCAGCGTAGCATCAGGAGGAAGCCAGACCTAGGAAAGTGGGTGGCTGCAGGCTGGGCCTTTTCCTGACGCTTTATATCAGGGGTCTTCAAAATTGGCCCTTCGTGACTTGTGGACTTCAACTCCCAGAATTCCTCAGCCAGGATGGAGAACTATGGCCCCCTTCATGACTTGTGGACTTCAACTCCCAGAATTCCTCAGCCAGCATGGGGAACTAAGGCCCTTTCATGACTTGTGGACTTCAACTCCCAGAATTCCTCAGCCAGCATGGGGGAAACTAAGGCCCCTTCATGACTTGTGGACTTCAACTCCCAGAATTCCTCAGCCAGCATGGGGAACTATGGCCCCCTTCATGACTTGTGGACTTCAACTCCCAGAATTCCTCAGCCAGCATGGGGAACTATGGCCCCCTTCATGACTTGTGGACTTCAACTCCCAGAATTCCTCAGCCAGCATGGGGAACTATGGCCCCCTTCATGACTTGTGGACTTCAACTCCCAGAATTCCTGAGCCAGCATGGGGGAAACTATGGCCCCCTCATGGCTCGTGGACTTCAACTCCCAGAATTCCTCAGCCAGCATGGGGAACTAAGGCCCCCTCATGACTCGTGGACTTCAACTCCCAGAATTCCTCAGCCAGCATGGGGAACTATGGCCCCCTTCATGACTCATGGACTTCAACTCCCAGAATTCCTCAGCCAGCATGGGGAACTATGGCCTCCTCATGACTCGTGGACTTCAACTCCCAGAATTCCTCAGCCAGCATGGGGAACTATGGCCCCCTTCATGACTTGTGGACTTCAACTCCCAGAATTCCTCAGCCAGCATGGGGGAACTAAGGCCCCTTCATGACTTGTGGACTTCAACTCCCAGAATTCCTCAGCCAGCATGGGGAAACTAAGGCCCCCTCATGACTCGGGGACTTCAACTCCCAGAATTCCTCAGCCAGCATGGGGAACTATTGTCCCCTTCATGACTTGTGGACTTCAACTCCCAGAATTCCTCAGCCAGCGTGGCTGGCTGAGGAATTCTGGGAGTTGAAGTCCACAAGTCATCAAAGGGCCAAATTTGAAGACCCCTGCTTTATAGTGTGTCTTTTAGGTCCAGGGAAGTATAAAAACATCAGAAAGGCTATCCGATGGATCTAAGCACCACACACATACACACACACACACACGCACGCACAAAAGTAAGAAAAAAGACCCCGTGTGGGCAGACATACCCATTTGTCGTCCTGGTGGGCTCTCCTACTTTTCGAGAGCTCTGGATTCAGATCCCGCAAATTCGTTGATTGAACTAAAGCTGTGGAGTCACTTCATCCTGGGGGGAAAAAAGGGAAGATGGTCAGTTCCTGAGACCCCAGAACCCTGATTATTTAGCAGTCCAGGAAGGCAGAGACTACCCCAGTCTTCCCATTTCATCACTTAAATGGGATGTTAATGTGGAATTATGGCAGGAAAAAAACCAAGCCTCCCTCACCTGCAGCCTTCCTACCTTGCATGAGGTAGAATCTGAGCAGGGGGAGAAAAAAAAGTTAAAATGTTTTAAGAGGGTTAATTATCTTATGCTTCTTTTCTCCCTATAATCCACCTCACAATCAGGCTGTTTGTCTGTTATGGAGGACAGGAAGGTCTTTCCAGTACAAAAGGGAGAGAAATTTTTACTCAGATCTCTGCTGCCTGACAAGAGTCACCATTCAAACGACTACATTCAATTGGTTGGTTTGTTGAAAATAAAATCTGGTCGACAAACCTTTCAATCGTTCTAAAAGCAAAATAAATACATAAATAAAAATCAAGCAGAGCGGCCAGGGCAATGCTACAGTCCACAAAGAAGAAACATACACAATCTTACCTAAGAGTCATAAAATATTATATTATATGATTCGTAAAATATTATAAACAGCGCCATAAATCCTCCTATTCCTTAAATTCGATTATTTGTGACCTCACTAGGAAGGATTTTAGCCCTAGGCCAGGGCTCTTTTATGACTGGTGGACTTCAACTCCCAGAATTCCTGAGCCAGCCATGCTGAGGGGAAAGGGAGAGGCTTCCAAGCTGAGCCGTGCTGGCTCAGGAATTCTGGGAGTTGAAGTCCACGAGTCATGAGGGGGCCATAGTTCCCTCACGCTGGCTCAGGAATTCTGGGAGTTGAAGTCCACGAGTCATGAGGGGGCCATAGTTCCCTCACGCTGGCTCAGGAATTCTGGGAGTTGAAGTCAAGTCATGCATAGTTCCCTCACGCTGGCTCAGGAATTCTGGGAGTTGAAGTCCACGAGTCATGCATAGTTCCCTCACGCTGGCTGAGGAATTCTGGGAGTTGAAGTCCACGAGTCATGAGGGGGCCATAGTTCCCTCACGCTGGCTCAGGAATTCTGGGACTTGAAGTCCACAAGTCATAAAAGAGCCCAGGTTGCCTATTTCTGACCTAGGCAAGTGACCATTTTGTCAAAGCCAGAGGAGAAATGCAGCCCAGGAATCTCTTGTCTCCAACACATGGCCTAGGGACTAGAATCCTTATTTTAAAATCACTTTTAGACATTGAAATTTGACTGCCTGAACCAGCAGAACGAAAGCAAAACATGTGGCCAATTTAACCTGGTTCAGGGATTAGTTGCTGTTTCTTTGAAAAGGGACCACAGAGGCAAATGTTCCGTTCCAGCCGTTCTTTTCTCTTTCTTTTTAAAAAAGATTTTTTTTGTCTTGAGGGGGACGACACACAAATGGGGTGGGGGTGGGGTGGGGAGCAAGCTTCAGCACATAAGCTCGAAAGATAGCTGCTGTGAGGTCTGCAATCTTTTCACAGTCTCCTCCACGTCTTGCAACAGTTGCAATAAAAGAAACCAACCCCAAAAAACAACAACAGTCAAAGTAAATTGAATTATTTAGACCCATATGTTCTCAAACTGTGAAGGAGCCTAAAAAAAAAAAAAGAATCATATTGTGAGATTTCCGATCTGGAGCCTCCTCGTGTTTGGACCATGGAGGGGGAAAAGGCAGAGCCAGCTGCTTACAAAACAGCTGGCCAGGGGTTCCGGTTTCAGGTGACGCCTTCGCTGGCCCACTCGGTGGGTGTAACCCACAGAGCACCCCCCCCTATTCCTTACCCCCTCAAAAATAAGGCTATAGGCAGGCATGGCGGAGTCCCCCTTTGCAGCGGGGGGCGTGGGGTGGAGAGAGAAAGGGGTCTGGGGGGGGAGAGAAGGGATTATTCGAGGAAGGGGGAGCAACTGAAACTCGCAGCTAGGCTGGCGTTTTTCCAGTCCCGTGCGATCTTTAAAACCGCCTTGCAAGGTAGGCCATTGTTCCTGGTGGGAAGGAGACTAGAGGGGGCAGGGGTCTGCACCTTCCCAGCCTTCCTCCTTGTGTCCACGACACCGGCCACTTTGTCCGAGGAGTTCAAAGTCATCTTTGCCCTGTGTCTTTGGTCCTGACACCAAGCTTCCAAGAGGCGATGCAAGAGGCGCTCTGGGCATGAACAGAGATACCCCCCAGTGCCAACAGCAGGCCCTGGTTTTCAAATGCCACACTCAAATACTTCACAATGCCTCCCTGGCCTCTTTCTACCGTGCCTGTCTCCCCCCACCCACTGCCCGACTTAAAAAAAAAAAGATTTTAGCGCTCTCCTCCCCCCCCGCCCCTCCCACCCAGCCATGCACTCGTTCAATGCTCGCCCCCCCCCACCTCCCCTTGATTATTTTGGCCACCGGCAGCTTATCAATGATGCAAGAGGAGTAACGCCAATTTACTTAGAAGGTGTAATCCCCCCCAAATCAGATTGAGGGATTGCAGGAGGCAGGCTGACCTTGCATATGTCTCCATCAAAGCCACCATGCCTCGGCTTGTATTCTCTGTTCCCAGCACATATTTAGACAGATAACACTAATTGAACTTGACATGTCCTCTTAAGGATGGACTCTCGGCTCCTCCTCAGCGCGCCTGACAAGGAGAGGCAGCAGTGGCTCTCTCCATCTAGGCCGGACCAGGCTAAGCCCACCCACCCAGCCACCCACCCACCCCTGGGGGTTCCAGCGCCCCAATCTTTGGGCCTGGCTCTCCTTGTTTCAACCCCAATTCCTGAACCCCCCCATTTGCCCAATCCCCCCTCCCCAGAGAAGCTGCTGCTCTCCAGATATTCTTCTTTAAGGACCGCTGCTAATCAGGGATTAAGAACAGCCAACGTCGTGGTTGGTAGACTTAAGTCCCTGAAGACAATATGGTCCTCCAGAAGGAAGCCCGGTCCAAAGATCTGCATATGCAAATGAGGGCGGTGAAGGGGAGGGGCCCTGACAAGCTGGACTCTGAATTAAAGCCAGACCTTTAATTGTCTGAAGGGCACTAAAACGTAAGCCAGGATAGCTCCCTCCGAACCTGCTGCTCTTTATTACACAATCAATGTTGTATATTGTAGCAGGCTTCAACTTTGTGTTATGTCAGGGGTCTTCAGGGGTCTGTCAGCGTGCCTGGCTGAGGAATTCTGGGAGTTGAAGTCCACAAGTCATCAAAGGGCCACGTTTGAAGACCCCTGTGTTATGTGGTCAAAGGCAGGCAGGCCAAGATCCCCACTGTACCCATTTTACAGGTTAGCCATTAGTTCAATGGTTTCCCCTTTCCACTATATTTTACATATTTATATGCAGTAGCATTTTTTACACTTAGGACTCCAGACGTCTAGTTTTTTTTCACCGATCAAAAAAAAAAAAGGGGGGGGGAAAGAGAGGCAAAAAAAAAGAAATAAAGCATCGGAAGACGTCCTGATTCTATCCGGTCGATACAGGCGACTTAAGAGAGGGAGGCAGTGCAACTACAATACTGCATTACCAACCAGGAGTCAGGCATTAAAAAGCCAATTTAAGGATGCGCTGATACGCTTCAAAATGTATTTTTAACAGAGGTTACTACCGTGGGCATCGTCCCTTTAATTCTGTTTTCTCTTAAAAGCGGCCGCGTCCACAGAGACTTCAAACCTACGCTTTCAGAAAGAGGGGCAGAGAGAAAGGGAGAACTCTCCAACGTCTCCGTGGAACATTAAGGACTAGCAACTTGTTCTTCTCTTTAAGGAGGATTTGCCACTTCTCCCGAGGCTGAAAATCCTTCGCTGGGTCCTAGAACTGGCAGCCAATCTGGCTTACGGTGCTGTCACCTAAGGCAGCTGCATGCAAATCCACCGTCACCGAGGGGGAGTGTTTGGTATCCCTACTCTTGACCTCGGAAGCTGCCTTGACTGGCAGCCACGTCTTTTCCCTATATAAATATTCATACCTCTCAGGAACACGACCCCGATTTACCAAAGACAACCTGGGGCTGGGCAAGGGAAAGAAACTCCATCCCCCCCCCAAAAAAAGAGAGAGCAAAAAAACTAACTTTCTCTGGCACAATCGGACACCGTCCGTCCCTTTGCCCTTTCCCGGCCTGGCGTTCTCTTAATTTGACTTTTTTTCCCAGCATCCTTCCTCTCCCAACCTTTTCTTTCCCGCCCCCCCCCCGGTCTTCTTCCTCCCCAGCAACTGCGTATTTATTAATTCATGAGGCACTAATTAGTTCTTTGTTTAATTTTGTGTTAAACAGACTGACCGGAATGATAACGACTTGCAGCGTTGCACGGCGGTCCCCAACCGCCCCCTCTTTCCCGGCAACCGGGGAGTAGCGAGAAGCTGACGTGATGAACCCCAATTCCCACTTCAGTTGCACTTCATTAAGTCAAAATGTGACAAGAAGCTTAGAGAGTAACTTCCAGATCGGATCACACATAACAATTGGGCAGGAAAGTTTCCAAAGGCGGGGGGGGGGGGTTGTTTGAGGAAAGAGCAGCAGAAGTGCCTCTGACTATGAGAGCTGGCGTGCAACTTGCACACCGGCCTCGTCTTAAAGGAGCAGCAGGCTCAGGCTTTCCCCAAACTGCAGCCAAACCAACATTTGACTTTGACTTTCCGGATCGTTCCGGTGACTTCTTTGGCCAGGAGAAGGTGACCACCTGTCGGTCTCTTTCAAGGGGTCATTGTGCATGGAGCTCATTCGCCTGAAAGCAGCCACCTTGGCATCAAAAAGGATCGGGATGCCAAGTGCCCTTCAAGCTTGGCAGCTAAAACACAGCATTCCTCCTCCTCATTCGGTCTCCTCTTTCATGGCTAGTTTAAGCAAGCCATGATTTGCCCGATCTTTCGGTATTGGGTGTAGCAGCAGAACCTCTGAGAGATCAGAATTTGTTCAGTTCAGCCAGGCACAGTGAGGGAGCAGTTCAAACAGGTTTGGTCTTTAACTGTCAAACTAGTCTTGTGCAATTCTCTGGATTCCCAGGTAGATAGATAGATAGATAGATA